AATTCAGTGTGGTCATTGCTGGTGAGGCTCATGCTGGGCAGCAGCCAGGAGTTGGTGTCTTGTCTCTTCCTGAGGCAGCCCCGGGTTTTGAAGGATGACTCAGAGTCCCTGGAACCCTGCAGGTAGAGAGAGGAGCATGAGGAGGCACAAGGGTTGGGGAAAGGGTTCCTGAAATGCCTTGGGTGGATGGGGGTAAAAAAAACCCTTGAAATCCTCATTATCCATTATCTGCACAGCTCTCTGGTTATTAGGCCCTCCTGCCCATGTGTGTCTTTTGATGCAAAAGGAGGGCCCTGCTCAGCCCCCAGACTACCAGGAACACCACTGAGGGCACTGGAGGCACTTTATAGATAGGAGGACCATTGCTGTGCTACCTGTCAGTCCTGCCAGTGAGAAAGAGGGGACAAGGACAGATAGAAGATGCACCCCCGTGGTCAGATCGCTCTGACTCATCCTTCAGCAGGTACTTACTGAGCCGCTCTGTCTGCCTTGGGGTATGGTAATGAGCAAAACAGAGATGTGTTATGGAGACACTTCCATTCCACTGGGGGTGAAACCTTCTTGGCTCCCTGAGCAGGAATGGAACCCTGTGCAGCGTGTGTCCTCAGAGACCCGCCTGGAACCTGATAGAAACATTGCTCAATCACTGTTGAAATAACCTACTGCTTAAGCAATTCGGAAGTGCCAGGTGGTAAGAAAGAACCTGGAAAAAGCCAAATAATTTTTTTGCTCTGAGAGACCTATTGTATTGACTTGTTCTGTAATTGATTTTTAGTTACAAAATTCTCAGCCAGGGGAGGAATTGAATTTACTCTGGCAGAGCTACCTTTTTCATATCACCCAGGGATTCTATATCTGTTAAGAAAAGTCTTTTATTCATAGCACAACTTTGAGTTTGCATGAAAATGGCAGGTATTGTTGAATTTAAGTGTATTGATGGCCTGGGTCAAACATTGAAGTCAGCAGATAATTTAGAGGGAACTGCTAAAGGGAATGGTTGTCTTTTCTCACCCTAGTCTCAAGAAACAAAGGAGAAAACAAAAGAAAAATGTGCTCATCTTGGCTTTGAACAAGCTGAAGAGTCCTCAAGGCCCCAGTTTCTCCTGGCCTTGGTTTTCCATTGCAATTTTGATGTTGGAGCTCTGGCTTCCTCCTGAATACCTTTCTCCCACAATTTGATAGTACAGACGACAGGAGGTAATATTAAGAGCTGAGACTGTTCAGAGTCATAAAACACAACAGGGCAAAACTTGGTACAGCTACCAGCTTGCAGTAAGAATGTGAACTTTGGAATCCAACCTTGGAAAATGCTGCTGCAGGGCCTGGCACAGGACTGAAGCCTATTGCAAGCATGGAGGGTCAAGAGGGAGGGCCATATGCTGCAGAGTCAGTATCCTTCCAGGGTGCCCTGATGGCCTATGAGGGCCAGCACTGACCCTCAGGAAGTCATGCTTTTGGCGTGATCTGCGGGCCAGCAAGAAAACCCTGGAAGGAGGAGATTCAGAAGGAAGATGAAACCAGAAAAAGGAGAGGAGAAGAAAAAATGAAATTAGGTCAAGGGTGAAACAAGAGGTGTCCCCAGAGAAAGTGGTAGATTTTCTATCCCAAGGGAAAACAAGGGTTTGACCAGGAACAAGGCCGAGGGACACTCTACGGGCTGGGCCCAGCGCTGATGTCGGTGATGGTGATGTCTTTGGAGTGGAAACTGGGTGAGCCTGCCCGTATGGCTGAACCACAGCAGGCACTCAAGGGACTTGCAGCCCCTCCCACCTTGGTATTAGCCAAGGTGTCTGGAACTGTCCACCTGGAGGGAAGCACACCCAGCTCAGGAACCTTGCCAGAGCAAAGTGCAGACAATGAGACCTGAGCTCTGACAGCATGCCCAAGTGCCTGCCTGCTGCTGGAATGCTGGCAAGCACATTCCTTCTGAGAATAGTTCACCACAGTGAATTCTGACCTCATTGCACCACCCCGGTCAAGGGTGTTGAAATGGAATAAATGATCTCATGTCAAGGGTCTGTGGAAACCCTCAAAACCAGGGGAATTCCTTGGCTCCCCATCTTCATTTCAGAGTGGAAAGTTTAAGCGATAGTTCATTCTAGATGTTTAATGGATCTCAGCATTTAAGGACAAATTAATAGGTTAGAGATGTGGAGTCAATCATGTGGACTTGATTTCCCTTAAATTGGGTGATTTTGTAGGACTTAGAATGTAATTATTGCAGGCTCATTTCTTTCTTTTTTTCTTTGTTTCTATCATGATTATCTAACTTAAATTTTTTAAAAATTTTCTATTCCCAATGGCAACAGAAATGATTGAGTAACCTTATATGATTTTTAAAAAATATTTGAAGGGATCGGGCATGTAGCTCAGTGGCAGGGTGCTTGCCTAGCATGTGTGAGGCCCTGGGTTCAATCCTCAGCACTGACGGGGATGGGAGACTATCAAAATGTTTAAATGGTATATAAGGATTTTCTGAGAATTTTATGCCACATATTTGTGGCCTTTTCTAATACATAAGATGTTCCATCTTCTTCCTGCAGCCCTGCCTCTCCCCAGGTGGTGGTCATCCTCAGGGTTGTCCTCCTAGGGTGCCACATCATTTGAATGGGCCACAGCCTCAGGCCTTCTCCACTTTCTGGGGCTTGTTTTTTATAGCAGGACATCCCAGCTTGGGGAAGAATTTGATTCTGAATCCTAAATTCTCTCTAGGAATAAGCTGGAAAGAGTTTGAGAAAAGATTGCATTTGCTTTAAGGCTTCCTTAGGAATCCGCACCCAGTTGTTGGCTTTGCATCATCCTAGTCAGCACCTGCAGGTGTGGAGCCTTCCTTGGTTCGTCCACCAGAGGGCCTCCGTCCTGCATGGGAAAAACCATCCTGAGCTTTAAAGGGGGTTGAATTTCTCTGTTCATCATTTATCTCCCTTAGGCTGCCCAGGGGATTATTGTCAGCACCCATTTCAATGGATTGTCTTTAGAATTTTGAGCCAGTACCTAGGAGTGTCTAGTGAGCTGTTGTCACTGGTAGTCATAGAATTCATTTTATATATATATATATATATATATATATATATATATATATATATATATATAAATAAATAAATTTGCACGCTAGTGGATCAGAATAAAGACCTGGGCGCTCTGGTTCACGCTTGCTCTGTCCTGAAGAGTCACATTTCTGGCATTGAGCTTAAGTTTCTTTTACCAGGAAGGTAACAGAGTATGATGGAAGCTCCCAGCATGTGCTCTCACCAGCCGCTGAACCTGAGCATCCCCTTTCTCTTTTGTGCAAGTTAGACTGCGTTGGGTCGTTTAGAGCTAGAAGATTCTGTGCTCCTGTAGCTGTACGAATGGCTTGTTCTGCAGGGAGGGCATAGGAGACATTCCGAATGGCCAAGGCCGTGAGCAGCCTTCCCTGTGTTCTAATGTCCAGCTTATCTCCTGTTCATTCAAGGCCTAATTTCCACCCTGCTAATGCAGTGCTTTTCCAGGGTCTTTAGTGATGCTGCCCCAGGCACATTCTACCTTTCAAAGCGCTGCTCCTTCTATACAGTGTGATCCGTGATTCTGGAATGAAGTTAGATTTCCAGAGCCTCACCCGTCCTCCTTAGCTATGGCTCTTTCCTCCCCCACTGTGTTACTTAAGAGAACCAAGCTCAAGTCCAAAGCAAATGTACGTTGTTGACTGTGAACACAGATCCCATAAAAACAAATGAAGGGGAAAGCAGAGTAGATTGTGCGTCCCAGGGCCTGTTGCCTAATTTTTATTCATGTCCCTGTTAGATTTCCTTATTGCTGCTTAGAGTCCTAAGCACAGCCTTTTCTTTTTATGCCACCATAAAGCTTCTGATCGGATATCATCTGATATGCGTGGGTGAGAGGACTCTGGGAGTGTTTACGTACCTATGCCAGTAAGCCATTATCTTCAAGTTCTGGCTGTTCTTGTGAATGAGAGCCCTGGGAAGTCATGTAGGTATAAGATATGAATTAATAACCCTCATGAGTGCTTGTAACTTACAGACCACATTTTGATTTAATACCTCTGCATGATTTAAAATGTCATCTGAGAAGAGAGCCAAATACTTAGGCATCTGCCACAGCCAGCAGAGGCTGGCTGACAGGTCTGCACCGGCTGACCCGTTCTCTGCCTCTTTGGAAAGATGAGATATGTTCTAATGAGCAGGTTATAAATATCACCGAGTTATGTCATAGGAGTGGTGGCACTCAATGTAAAGGGAGCAAGCTGGGAAGTGTTCCCAGCTACACAGACCAGGCTCAGCTTGCAGGGAGGACAAGTGGGGCCTGGACTTACCGACCAGGATGTTACTAAAGAATGATTTGTCTCTGAATGAAATGTGTCACCAAATGCATCTGTGGGGGTGTGGGGGGCAGTGAGATGAGACATGTCTGAGAGCAGGAAGGCACAGTCGACACACACTTGTTCTCAGAAGCAGCCTTCGACCCTTGGCATCTTTTTGTCGGTGGATTGGGCAAGTGGGTTTGATGGGTTTTCTAGGCAGTGACTACGTTCTGGAAAGTCAGCATGGTTGCTTGGGGGAACCCCTCAGTTTTCATCTCTTTGCCCACATTGCATACAGCAGCTTGCTGGTGCTCCTACCCCCGGGCCCAGCGTTGCCACCTGCCCTTCCAATGGAAGTACAGAGTTCAGTACCACTCTGTCAAAGCCACTGGAAATTTGAAGATAGACCCTTATAAGATATCTTGCTGTGTTTTGTTTGTTTGCATTTTTTGGCCTCAGAACTGATTTTCAGATTTTTCTTGAGGAAGTTTGATTGGAGTTAGGAAGCATAAAAGACCATCAATCTCAGGTCAGACTTTTCAGAGTTGGCCAAAGATGAATAGACACGTGCAGAATAATTGTTTCCTTAAAATCTAGCCAACAGCTTTCATGTAGACAAAATGCATCAAAATATGTGTATAAAATATTTAATACTAAGCCATGCCAGATGGAAATCCTGTCAAATTCTGTGTGCATGCAGGAACTTGACAAGAGGAGTCGGGAGATTTAGAGAGCTTCTCAGAGCGGTGGAAACGAGAACAACACAAAACCTGCGAATGGTAAGTGTGACTAATGACTTGGCTGGGGACAGTCACTAGGGCCCTCGTCTCACAGATATGTTCACTTTTACACATTGTTACATATCATATATATGTATATACATATATATAGCAATTCACTTATTTAAAATGTACAATTTGATGGTTTTTAGTATATTCACAGAATTGTTCAACTGTCACTAATATTTAATTTCAAATTGCTCCCAAAGGAAACTTATGCTTGGCTGGATGTGGTGGTACACACAGTAATTGTAGCTACTCCGGGGTCAGATGAGAAGGCTCACAAGTTCTAGGCCAGCCTGGGCAACTTAGCAAGACCCTATCTCAAAATCAAATGTGGAAGGGGCTGGGGATGTAGCTCAGTGGCAGAGCACCCCTGAGTCTAATTCCCAGTACCAAAAAGAAAAAAAACGAAAAAGAAAAGAAGGAAGCGTATACTCATTAGAACTCAGTTCCTACTCTCCCCTTCCATGAGACTTGACAACTGTTTATTTACTTTCCATTTCTATGAATTGGCCTACTTTGGACATATCATACAATTGGAATTATATAATGTTTGGTCTTTTGTGATTGGCTCCCTTTATTTAGCATAATATGTTCAGAGTTCTTCCTTGTTGCAGCTTTTATTAGTATTTCTTGTTATTGCTACGTAATATTCTGTGGTATGGACTGACCACGTTTTATGTACCCAGGCATCAGTTGGTAGACATTGTGAATAATGCTACTGTGAATGTTTATGTCCATGTTTTCGAGGGGACATGTGTGCCCTTTTTCCTTGGGCATATGCCCGGAAGCATTACTGGGTCACGTGGTAACTGGGCGTTTGACTGTTAAGGGTCTCCCAGACTGTTTCCCACTATTTTACATTCCCGCCAGCAGTTACGAGGGTTCCAGTTTCTGCACGTCCTCCCCTTCCCTTGTTACTGTCTTTTCAGTTGTGGCCATCTTAGTGAGTGTGTGGTGCTCTCTCCCGGGGGTTTTGACTTACGTGTCCCTGATGGCCACTGATGTGGAGCATCTTTCTTGAGCCTGCTGGCAGTCCTCTCCAGCTGTAAGAGCTGCATCCTGTGAAGCATGGGATGCAGGCCTCCTGGAGGCCATTGTGGGATGGGGTTGGCTGTACGCTTATGATTCCACCAAACCCCGGGGACAGAACCATGCAATTTGGATCCCAAGGGTTGCTTAGCTAATTATGTTGACCACAAAAATTAGAAGAGAAATATAAAAGGTATTTAAATATCTGCAGCTTGGCTTGATCAGCAGCTTGACTTTCCTGTTGACTTGAATTCTGTGTTTCCTCCTGAGGAGGTTCATTAATTATGCCCCTGTGGCTTGTCCCGTGGAGCTATAGTTCTTGAGTGTCTGAGCAAAGTCCTGGTGCTCACTAGAAGCTAAGTGAATGCCACATGTTACAATTAATGTAGCAGTTTCTTTTTGTCTTTTGCAATTTCTTTTGTCTTTTGTCATGGTGTTATTGTCCTATGAATTCATTAAATGTTGTGGGGAGCATTCAGTTGGGCAAGGCTAAGAGAGTCATGTCACAGGAAATGAAGCTTTATTCAGGCCCTCCGGGGTTTTAGGATGTGGACATACTGGTGGGGTCAGGTGGCTAAGCTGGAGGCTTTAATCAGGGGGTTGAGATAAGATGAGCAACTTTGCATGCACGCATGCACGCGTGCACGCGCACACACACACACACACACACACACACACATATACATCACACCCCCCTCCCAAGAACTCACTTGGTCTTTGGGATTTATATACCAGTGTACTTGATATATGCCTTGAATTCAGATGAAGAAGTTTGAGATCTGGGTTTCTTTAAAGCAAAAGAAGCAGCAAGAACATGAATAAAAAATTTTTCCAGATTATATTTTTTCTCAAATCGACCTTCTCCCAGCATTCCACAAAACTCTTCAGCCCATCAGTATGAAAATCTTCTTCCAAAATCTCAAAGCACAATGAAAGTAACTGATTAAAATGGCAAGTGTTTTCATAATTACTTTAAAAGCACGTTGAAAAATCCAGTCTTTCAAAATTGCTTAAATATGGAGCATTTGTTCATATTGTTGACTTTCAAATATATATAATTTATGGAATGAGCTGTTTTTCTCCATTTAAAAGTGCAAGTATCCTGAATTCTCTGTGGGAACCTGTCTGCTGTTCAGTGAATTAGAGAATATATTCCACTACTAAGATTTATGATTTTCAAATCAAAGTATTTTCACTTTTAAAAATCCTGTGAAGGGTGGGGATGTGGCTCAGGAATAGAGCACTTGCCTGACATGTGTGAGACCTGGTTTGACCCCAAGCACCACAGAAACTGAACAAAAATTCTCTAAGCTCGGGTTCTGAGTAGACATGGTTGGAGCGTGGTGGTGAGGGGTCCTTTCCATTTTTGTTTTTCTGAGAAGACAAGGAAGAGACCCTGAAGAGCTTGTGGTGGCCTAGGCTGCCCCTGGACATTGCAGCTTCTAGCTATCTGTGCTGGCATGAGGGGAGGTGCTTCTCCTTCGTGTCACGCTGAAGTGCCTATGCACATTTGGTCTCAGTTGAAGATCTTCACATGACCTAAGTTTAAAACTCTTTTCAATTCCGTGAGTACTTGACCAAAGTCGTGCATCAGGATTATTGGGGGAACTTTGGGTTTTCTTGCTTGTTTGTTTTGCAGTGCAGGGTATGGAACCCAGGACCTCACACATGGTAGGCAAGGCGCTTTACCACCGAGCCACAACCCCAGCCCTACTGAGGAACTTCAAACAAGTACATGTCCCCAAACCATGACCACAGAAATTCCAGAGGACTGAGTCTAGGACAGAGCCTGAGAATCTGTGTTATTTGAAGTTTCCACAAGCAGACCTCACTCACCCTAATAGAGAAGCACCCCAAGCCTTGTTTACACGGAACATCAGAAAACTTCTCCAGCTAGTGCTATTCATAAGACAGGTTCTATCAGCCTTAACTAATAACTCTTATGATTCTTTTTAGATTATCTGGCTGCAAATTTATGATATTCTTATGAGATGGAAAAGTTGTTTTGTAAACTCAATTTGGTGTGAGACCATGACAAAGAGGGATTTAAGATTATATTCACAGCAACTCTACGCCTAGGTATATATGCCCAAGAATTGAAAACAGGCACAAACTGGACAAGAACGTTCATATTGACACTATTCTAACAGCCAAAAGGTGGAAACCTGTCTATCAGCTAGAGAATAGATACGCCAGATGTGCTACAGGCAGACAATGGAGTGCCACTCAGCCACGGAGAGGGCTGAAGTGCTGGTCCACACACAGCCGAGAGAGTCTTAAAAACATTACACTGCATGAAGGAAGCTGGTCACAGAAAGATCCATGCTGTGCAGTTCCACTGTGGTGAAACAGTCTAAGTAGGCCAGTCCTTGGAAACAGAGAGCATATCAGTTGTCCCCATGGCCTAGGAGGAAGAGAGGGTGAGGAATGATTGCTTAAAGGGTGTAAGGTTTCCTTGGGGGTGATGAAAATGTTCTGGAACTAGATAGCGGTGGTGGTTGCACAATATTGTGAATGTACTAAGTGCTGTTGGGTTGGACACTTCAAGATGGCCTCAGCATGGACCAGCACCCCCCTCCCAAAGTTATATGTTTAGAATCCCAATTTAGCGAATGAAGTTTTCATTTTTAAATTTTTAACATTTATTTTTTAGTGATAATGAATGGAGGTATTTCTGTCGGTAGAATTTTCCAGCAAAAGTCATTAGATTATATGACTGCAATGAGATCAAAATGAAACTATAATGGAAGGTTTAAAAAAACAGCTCAGGAGCTGTTTAGTTCCTGAAAATTGTGTTCTTATGAGGTCTTTACAGATGGCTCAGTTGGGGATGATCAGAGTGCATTTAATTTCACATTTTTATAGCCATTTAAAGGCAGTGGGTTTTACTTGGGAATAATCAAGAAAATTTGCCTTTACCCAGTGGTTATCAGAAACCACTAAGCTAGTGATTTGGCTGTACTTAAGTTTCCTTGGGGAATTTTTAGAGATTTCACATGGATGAGAGCCTAGCAAAGTTCTCTTCCAGAACATATTTCTTTAAAAAGGCGCATTTTCAGGGAAGATCAGCTTCTTTGTCTGTATCTTCCAAAAATATTAAAACCAAGCAGAGAACCCTGCTGGCTAAAGTTTTGCTGTACCATCTCTGGCTGCTTATGGGTGGCCTGGACTACCCTGCGATGCGGTGCTTCTGTTTTCAAAAGGATTTTTTTTAAAACATCTTTGTCATTTGGAAGATTATGAACTGATCTACATCAGTCAACAAAGTACTTCTAGGTACACGCCACCTGTCACCTTCCCATCAACCACCGTGGTGCTGTTCTAGGCAGTGGGGTTCCAGAGGGTCTGGAAGCTGTCAACCTGCACCAGCTTAGGAAGGCAACATCCGGATGCTCCTGGGTTTTAACAGTAGAGAGAGAGGCCGTCCAGCTTTGAAGAAGGTCTTTCTTGATAGAAGCCACACAGCCCTCACTTTTCTTCTCTATAGCACAGGCTAGTGGGAGCTCTGGGCCATGAGGCCCAGGACGCACTGAGAAGAGGACTCTCGGGTGCTGGGTCCTGGGGTGGGGCTGCACAAGACTGGCCCTCACCCTTGTGAGAAGCAAGGCACTCTGGAATCACACAGCGCACGTCCTGTGGTCAACAAGAGATGTTTTTCAGGGACAGCATCATCTAAAATGAGCCTGACTTTTTGCCAGCTGGAGCTTTGGGGGCATCTGCTGGAAGGGGGTGAAAATCCCTGCAGTTCACCTGTTATTTACAGGAGCTCTTGGGAAAGGGCGTCGCTGAAAGCTAGGTTGTTTCAGATATAGAATGTGCTTAGTGTTCCAGGGTGTGACAGACCAGGGTGGCCGCGCAAATGCATGAGCCATCTTCACAAAGTTTTCAAATATCATAATGTGTCATGTTTTCTTTTCTTTTTGCCATAAACTGATATCATTTTCATCATGGAAGTAAAAAATCTTTAGTTATGAGTTTCTTGGAATAGTGCCTAGCACAAAGTGGTGCCTGATGAATATTCAGTGAGAGAACAGACTCATGGCTGCCTCTTCCCTCCTTGTGTTCCCAGACCATAGCCAGGCAGCTGGCGGAGATCTTGTTGCGGGGTATGTGTGAGCAGAGCTACTGGAACCCCCTGGAGGACCCTCCGTGCCAGTCACCCCTGGATGATCCTCTCCGGAAAGGAGCAAACACCAAGACCTACACCCTCACTCGCCGGGCTCGTGTCTACTCAGGAGAGAAGTACGCAAGCCTATGTCCTCTGCTGGGGGCTGGGGCAAAGGAGATGGGCAGTCTAAGGGCTAGTGGAAGTCCAAGGGCAAGCTGTTCTCCCCTAAAAGAAAAGCCAATGAGCAAGGCCACTCCACAGTTTAATAGCAGCCCTTGTCACTGCTCACAGCTTGAGCAGACCCCTTACCACCAGGACAGGTCAGGAGGAAGCCTGCTCTTTTTTCCACACCTGGCTGCCGCCATGGCTCTGGGTCTTTGGACTGCGACTTCCTGTCCTCGGAGCCCAGCACTGCACAGCTGTCTGTAGGCCAGAACTGACATTTCCCTTCTTTTCTTCAGCAATCCTTGGCCCTTTTGTTTAAATGTTGTCCTAAGCTGAATCAGATGTAAGGATAGCTGAGTGATTTGCTAGTGACCAGAAGGTGATATCTCTTTAGAACCTCTGTTTTTTTTTTTTTTTTTTTTTTTTTTTTTTTTTTTTTTTGTGTGTGTGTGTGTGTGGATGTGTGTGTGTGTTTATATATGTGTGTGTGCATGTGTGTGCGTGTGTGTGTGTATTTATATATGTGTGTGTGTGCATGTGTNACCATTCACTAGGAAACAAATGTGTATTTCAGGTGGATGAATATTTCTGAGAATAATCTTTTGAAAAGATGATTACAAATCCACATACCTGAACATGAATGAATTTAGGGAGTGTATAATAAGACACATATATTTCATACTTTAAAAATCTGGAGAGTGTGTGTGTGTGTGTGTGTGGATGTGTGTGTGTGTTTCCAGTTTAAATTCAGGACTTCATCCCCTTGGAGGAGAGTGGGTCAGGGAGTCCTCGCCAGGTTGGGGCAGGAGGGCAGAGAAGGCAGAGACCACAAGAAGGGCTGGGAGACAAGTAATCGCCATTCTTTGCTCGTGCCTCCTGTGAGAGCCTTTAATGCCCTGCGTACAGGGCGAGGCGAGGTGGCCTTTCTGGGTCTTGGGTGAGTGAACTGCAGAACCTCTTTGGCGTTCCCAGGCCGGGAGTGGCTGAGAGCCTGCGTGAGCTGCTGCTGAGCTCACTCCAGTGACACCTGGAAGTGACAGGGCTTCCCAAGGGAACAGCACTCCTCCAGGCCACTGCTCCTCATCCTCTTCAGTTGACCCTGGCATACCTCTCCCTCGTCACCTTCGCCTTTGCCTCCGGCTTGTGTTTGTGTGGATTCAGGCGCAGAAGCTTCCCCAGGCCTTGCTCTCATTCCCATCCCCGCCCCTACCCCAGCCTGTTGAGCGAGGAGTAGGCCCAATCCACAGCCTGTGTCTACTCCTCAGTCCTTCTCTGGATCCACAGAACTCTGTTCTGGCGCTTCCCAAACTCTCACACAAAAAATGCTGATCCCCATGATGAGCTGTTGAGAAACAGATTTGAGGTCCGTGTTTTAAGTGCTGTTTATATCTTCAAAACAGATCCTGGTTTATTTTACTGCTCGAGATGCTTCTTATTAGCCGGTGTACCAGGTTTCTATCCTCTCCCCACCAGGCCTGGCACCAGTGGGAGCTCTGTTCCCATGTGGCCTCCCTCAGAGGCAAGGAGGCTCTGCCACCCTGTAGTTCTTGAGCCACTCAGACATTGCCACTCTTCTAACACCATGCCCACGTCAGCTTATACCTGTGTAAAGGAACCTGGGGGCAAAACATAGATTTAGAAACTGCAGTCTCTGAAGGGATCTCACCGTTTTTTAGATTCCTTAGGATTTCTGTATAAGCTACAGTGTCATCTGCAGATACAGGTTACTTCTCCCTTTCTAACGTGGATGCTGGGTATTCCATACCTGCCCCTGCCCTCGCAATTGTCTGGCTAGAACCTTCGGTGCAATGTTGAGAAGAAGTGGCAACAGCAGACACTGTCTGTTTCCTGATCTTGGAGGGAAAAGCATCCAGTCCTCCACCTTTACTTATGGTGTTCACCACCGGCTCTTGTAAACACCCTTCATCAGGTTAAGAATGGTCCCTCCCATTCCTAGTTTGCTGTGTATTTTTATCATGGAACTATCCCCACAGTTTGACAAATGCTTTTTCTGCACCCATTCAGCTTATTCTGTAGTTTTTGTCCTTGATTCTATTAATGCTGTACATGCCTTTAATTGATTCTGATATATTGAGCCAATCTTGAATTTCTGGGGTGAGTCCCACTCTATCATGGTGTATAATATGTTTCTTATTTGTTGCTGGGGTCTATTGGCTAGTATTTTACTCAAATTTTTTATGTCTATATTCATAAAAGATATTGTTCTGCAGTTTTCTTATGATACCTTTGTCTGCTTTTGGTATCAGAATAATACTGGCCTCATGAAACAAGTTGGACAGTATTTGTATTTCTTTACCCTCTTTTTTTTTTTTTAAGTTTTTGGTGAATTGGTGTTAATTGTCCTTTAAATGGTTGGTAAAATTTATCAGTAAAGCCATCTGGTCCTAGACTGTTCTTCACAGGAAGTTTCTGGATACTAATTCAGGTCTTGATTGTTCATATTCTTTGTTTCTTCCTGGTTCAGTTCTGGTAGTTTGTGTCCTTCTAGAAATGCTTCTGTTTAAGTTATCTAACTTGCTAACATAGGTCTTCAGAGTGGTCTTACTATTTTTTTTTTTTTTTCTGCAAGGTTCACTGTCATGTCCTTTCTCTTCTCGTTTTGGTAATTTGGGTCTTTCCTCTCTCTGATGGGGTCAGTGTAGTTAAAAGTGTGTTGATTCATTGACCTTGTTGAAGACCCATCCTTGTTGGTTTTGTTCGCTGTCTCTAATGTGGGTCTCTTCCCTTTGTCATTAATTTCCACACTAATCCTTAGGCCCTCAGGTTTGGACTTTTCTAATTTTGTATGCTCACAGCCTACTTTTTTTTTTTTTTTTTTTTTTTTTTTAGTTTTTAAAACGTATTTTATTTCTCAGTTGTGTAAAAGTCCGGGTAGGTGGTCTGTACAGGTTGACGTGGTGGCTCCATCCTCATCAGGAATGCAGTACTGGCTCTAATTTTTATGTTTCCCTACATAGACCTTTTCCTAACTCCCAACACACTGCCTTTCTGCTGGTGGGAAGAAGATGAAAGTACAATAGTTAAGAATGTTCCCACACTTTTCCTGTTCCATTGGCCAACACTTGGTCAATAACACAACTAACTGGAAGAAATAATAAAAATGTATTTTGGATCTCAGATGGCACATGTGCCAGTATTATATTAATATGAGCAAAGGGGGAAAACTTCTATCTGTTCCACACTACCCTAGAGCTAGTTTTGTCTAACTTAATCTAGGAGTCAAGATTCAGTCACAGCCTACTTTTTCCTTGAAATATTAGTAAGGAGGGAAATCCAGTTGGGTGATACTTGTTTTGAGCTCCCTTGTTACCAAGGCAGCACCATCTAAGGACACCACCACCAGCTCAGTTATGCTGACTGGGAGGTGAAGTGGGAATCCGTGGATAATGCTCAGACTTTATTTTGGCCAGTAGCCCCAAACCCTCCTGTTTTAGTCAGCTTTTTCCCTGGTGCCACTAAAAGACCCGACCAGAACAATTGTAGAGGAGGAAAGGTTTATTTTAGGGCTCACAGTTTAGAGGTCTTAGTCCATAGAAGGCCAGCTCCATTCCTCAGGGCTTGTTGCACATCATGGTGGGAGAGTGTGGCAGAGGGAAGCAGCTCACCTGGTGATCAGAAAGCAGAGAGAGACTCGACTCTCCAAATACAAAACATATACCCACAGTCATGCCACCACTGAACCACGTCCTCCAGCCACACCCCACCCACCTTCAGGTACCACTCAGTTAATCCCATGGCTGATTGATTAGTTTCAGGCTGTGACCCGCTCATTTCTCCTCTAAACCTTCTTGCACTGTCTCACACGTGAGCTCTTGGGGACACCACATTTAAACCATAACGCCTCCCCTTCCACTCAGTCTCTTATAAGAAATGTAAGTACAAAGCAGAATTTAGGTGGCGCAGATCCTTCCAGCCCGGGAAACCACAGGACCATTCTGAAGTCTGGTCCTGAAGGGAGATAATTGAACAGCCAGCTCTGCCAGAGAGCCGTGCTCCCCTGTGCTCCCCGCCCTGTGGCTGGCTCGGGCCGAGGCACAGTGCTCCTGCTCTGATGGTCCTGGGCTTTGAAGGGAATTAAGGTGTTGAAAATACTGGGTAGAAAGGGGGAGGGAATCAGCCTTCACAGGCTTCCTTATTTCCTTTCTTCAGAGTCTGTTTGGGAAGAATTGTTTCTGCTTGGTTTACTTATTTTTAGGATAAACTTTTTGATACATAACAAAGAAAAGTAAAATCATAAAACTTGATGAATTTTTGTTAAGTAAACACATCCTGTATAAGAAGTAGACATTGCCAAAGACCCAGAATTCCTCTTTGTGACCTCTTACAATTGCCACCCCTGCCCAAGTGTGCCCAGTACTGGGCTTCTGTGGGACTTACAGAGGCACGTGATTAATCTAATTCATTTTAAAACTTTACATAAGCTGGGCGTGGTGGTCCACATCTATAGTCCCAGCACTTGAGAGGCTAAGGTAGGGAGAATCACTTGAGCCCAGGAGTTGGAGACCAGGCTGGGCAACATAGCAAGGCCTTGGTTCAAAAATTAATTGACTAATTAATTAAAAACTCACTTTCTGTTATTTTTAACATCGTGAAAACAAAATTAATTTCTAAAATAGAATTGTATAATAGGCATTCACTTATCTTCTTTTCATTGTATTTGGAAGATTTCTTCCATATTTTTGCATATAGCTATTTTTGTTTTCAGTGCTGCATAGTATTCAGTTTTGTGAAGTATCCTCTAGTACCTTGGTCTTTTTCGTTTACGATGTCATTTGAGTTGTTTCCTATTCCTTTTGGGTCTAACAGGAACAGTGCTGCTATGAATGCTCTTGTACATGTTTCCTAGTGTATGGATGTGTGTGTGTTTCGGTTGAGGGCCTTTTTCCTTTCATTGTTTTTTTTCTTTTTTCCTTTTAAAAAACATTTGAGGTGGCTTAGGTAATTAAACACATATTAGACTAAATAATTAGTACAAGTAAAGCAGGAGATCGAAAACCACTAGTTCCAGAAAGGAGATGACAAAAATGTATCACATGCAGTGTGTGCCTTGTGGGCCTGGGGGAGGGGAGAGTGGTCATGGGAGGCTCAGTGTGGGCCTGGACCTGCTGGTAGCCAGCAGAGGCTTGGTAAACATGGGCACTGAGGACAGTGGGAAGACGTGGGTGGTTAGGGGGTCGGGATGACTTCTTGGTGGCAGGACTGAAGCCACGTACATGGCCAGCTGCGTCCAGTTGGTCTGTCCACCTCTAGGGAGCCTGGCCCACCTTTGGGTTGTCATGTGGCGGCTTGTCCTCTTAACAGGGGCATGTCATGTGGAGGCTTGTCCTCTTAACATTGAGCCTCTGGGCAAGGCAATTTGCGTGGGGCTCATCTGCTCCTCCAAGAGCAAGTTTTGCTCCTCTTTTTTGTCACAAGGAGATTATTGGCCTTGTTGAGGAGAGTTGAAGGAGGACAGGATGTCCTCGGATGGGGCTGGCTGCTTCCTGACCATCTTCACTCAGGCAAGGGCCCAGGGAAGGTTCTGCCTTGGTGTGTTGACAATGGACGTGGGTGGGTGGGCTACGGGCAGTGAATCCTGGGCTCTCCTCAGCTGGCAGGCTGCAGCCCAGAGGCCGGGCTTCTCCAGGGTTCTCTAGTGGAGTCGTGGCCAGGCGTGCTAGGGCCTGCAAGGCCGTGTCCCTAGACCTTGAGTGGACATTGCTCTTTCCAAGTCAACTTCCCATGGGCAGGGAGCTCATGGCCCTCCCTGCATCTAGCCCTGGCTCCTAGAGGTGCAGGTGGCCTTTAGACACCCCTCCTTATTTGTCATGAAGTAGCTCCAGATGACCGAGGGGACAGGCGCAGTTGGTGAGATGGGGTTGGTAGAGTAAGGCCCTTCCCCTGTCTGGGGAAGGTTGAGAGTTCCCTGGGAGCACTGGCAAGACATGGCTGCTGTTTTCACCTGAGGCTCCCTCGCCCTCGTTCCCATGTCTTCTGTAGATTCTAGAATCAGCACAGATTCACCCCTATCGAGCCGTGGGTAGTTTGCCTGCAGGCCACCTGGGACTTGACTCCACCTTGTGTCTGGGATGGGGACGCCCCACTCTGCCCCGCTGGGACACAGCACTGCCCCCACCCGCTGCCAGCTCTGAAAGCTTGTCCTCCTGTCCCCTCTGGTGGCCCACCCTGCTCTTCATGCTGCTTCCCTTGGGCCAGTTTTCCACTCTCCAAGGCAGCAGCCCGGGCACTTCAAGGTCTCCCAAAGAGGAGACTGTCACAAATGGAAGGCCTGACAATTGTGGCCATCCATCCTGGGCCCCACACTTGCCTGAGCAAGGAAGAGGGTGGGAATGGCCAGAAATGAGTCTCAAGAATTCAGGATTACTGAGCAGGAGCCTTTGGTGAGCAGTGGTGTAGACTTGTCTCTTGAAACCACTCTTCCTTCCTTCTCTGGCTCTGCCTGCCAGCCCCACTCCGTGAGCCTCCTGAGCCCATCCTGACTGCCACAATGGGGAGTCCAAGGGAGAGGAATTAGCATCAGTTAATGCGTTACTTGTTAGCAACTCTGGTAAAAATAACACAACCTCACATTTAAGCTGGCTGGATGGCCCAGATGGAATTTGGAGATTATCCATGAACTGAATTGGCTGGTGTTAAGTCACAATTAGCATGGGCTCACTCTCTTTTCAATTAGTCTGAACAATGCAGAACTGGCTAGCCTGAAAACATGGTCAAGGTTCTATTTCTGAGGTCTGGCACAGACGGGGAGATCTGAGGATAGCCACTGGGGGCACACATACTCTCATGGGTCCAGGACACTCTCAATTCAGAACCTTTAGAGTCTATTTCTGAATTTGAGGGGAAAGAAGTGTTCCATCTTCCAAAACCCCAGATCCCTGTAAGCTGACTTCGAAGGAAGAGGTGACAAGCCCCCATGTCCTGCTTCTCGTTCCCAGGCCAGCCTTGCCGTGGCCTGAAGAGCGATGGGCATAGCCCACAGGGCTTTTCTTCCAGAAACCTCAGCGTAGTCACCAGAGGACTGAGCATGGCATTTTTTCCTCTTGCTCCTCAGTGTCCTCGGAGGCAGTACAAAAATTGCCAACATTTCAAAGAGAACAAGTATATATAATTATTTGGAAAACAGGGGGGAGGGGTTCCCTTTTTTAGGGGGAAATCTCATAAATGATTGTGAGGTTATTTCTGGGAAGGTGTAAATCTAGTCTTTATTTAGTCATTTTCAAAATATCCAGGAGTTTTTTTAACTAAGCACATTTTTATTTATTGCAAACCCTTTTTCCATTCTCTGAAAAAAAGTTGAGTTTGGCCCAATTGGTGATAACATTCACAATTCCACTTAGAGGATTCTGGAGCTTTAGAACAGGAAGAAAAAACAAATGCCACGAGTCTTTTTAAAAGTGCTCACAGTACAAAAAAAATAGGATCTAGAGAGTGCAGATTGGGGTTATGTTTGGGTTTTTATTGTTTTCTAATCCGCAGCAAAATTGAGCTTAGAAGCTTTTTCCTTTAATCCAAGACTTTAGAGTTTATCCAAATTCCACAAAATAGATTAACAAGACAGCTCTTGACTATTACCCCATAATAAAACATGCATGTTGAAGTAAGACAGCTCACTGTGTTCTTATAGTATCAGGGAAATTATTCAAACTCAAAAATTGCTTCCAATCTCACACTGCATCTGAATGACAGTAGAAGACATGGCAGTTAGCAGGGACAGCCAGGAAGAGTGCTGCTCGGTGAAGCCTCTGCAGTTCATGCCTCATAAGGGGCTTGGCAAAAGCTTGGGTTATTTACCTCATATCAGTTCATAGCCCCCACACTACTGCCTCTGTATTAGGTACATATGTTATTTGGGCTTTTAACTTGGTTTTTTTATAACTTCACTTCACCCTCTGCCTGCCGTCAAAATGCATAGCTAAAATGTGTTAATTCCATGGATCACCATAGGAATAAGCAAGTTAATTCAAGTGTCCAAATTACACAGTATTTTCATAGATTCTATATAAAAACTGAGACACTTTTAGCATTCCATTCTGTTCATGGTTGTGTTTGTGTTATTTTAAAACTGCCACATATCAAAGTTGGTTTTCTTTATGCAGCATTTTTTGTCCTCAAGAAAACACTGAAGAGGCCCTGTTGCTGCTGCTGATTAGTGAATCAATGGTAAGTGGAATGTGGCTTCATTGTTCTTTCCCCTGTCCCCACCCTCAGGATGGTGTCTAGGATGATGACTAGAGAGAGTTCTCGGGAGGGAAAGGGAAAGGAAGCAGTAGAGGTTTAAAGAGAGGATGTTTCTTAGTTACTGGAGGAGCTAGTAGTGTCTCTTGGTCACCTGGAACTTGGGGCTTCTCCTCCCATAGCAATTAGCAGGTATCTTAATTCATCCATCCATCAATCCATCCACTAGTCCTGGTGAATGCTGGCCCTGTTGTATGTATGTAAATAATGCTAACATGACCACCACCTAAAATGTCCACCAAGGGGAGAAAAGCCTTCTCAGGAGCCTCCAGGAGCCTTCTCAGTTTGCTTTGGCTTGAGGAAGAATGTCAGGATCGGAGCCACCGAGACTGCTCTGACCTTTCGCCATGTTCCCACCCGTTCCCGGGCACTGCAGAATTCCACTACCCAGCTCTACTGCTCTGAAGGATTGTCACCAGACCATCGGATTCCTTATGCTTACTTAGTGTTTGACCAGGATCTTGAATTATAGGCCTAAGACTGCATCACTCATTGTTCAGTGGACTTCTGTCCTGTGTAGCACTAGACACTACAGCCTGGTTCAAAACCCTGGGGATGCTGTGTCATAGTAGTTACTGTCACTGCAGGTAAACCAGGTGTTCCGAGCACCTGAGCAGAATATCAGCCTTCTAGAACTCAAAAGGACCTCATGTCCATTCATCTGCTTTGGCAGATGTGGAACCTGAGGGCCAGAGCAAGCTGAATGCACATGTGTGCAGGGACTGCTGCTCCTGTTAGATTGCGCTGCCCCCCTCCGTGACTTCTACCCACCAGGTGGGCAGAGGGAAGCTTAAGGAAGGGAGAAAGGCTGTTCCCCTTCTCCTTGCCCCTCAGATGTGCTATTTAACTGGAAGTGTGAAATACTCCCAGATGGAAGAGTCACGGACGTGGAGCACACACGCACACATGCCAGAGCAGCAGGGTCAGCAGAGCCAGAACAGTCAGAGAGGGGAGCATCCTGGCCACAGTTTAAAACGCTGGGTTTTCTTGTTCTGCAAAAAGGCCCTGAGGTGTTTACAAGAGCCAGGTTCCTTGAGTCACCGCTGCTTTTGACTTAGACACTCTTGACGTCTTTGGCTTTCTTTCCCTCCAGGAAGCAGGTTGCCCTTGGCTCATCTTTCCTTGACTGTCAGCTGCTAACGGAGGACAGTGTCACTTATATTCTGTGCTCTGCCTTGGCACAGTCAGGGAAGGCACATAGATTCCCAGGTTTGCACTTTGGTGGCATTCAGTGGCTGTTGTGCAAGTGAGAGGCCTCACCTGCTTTGCCACCAGTGTGACAAAGGGTCAGCTCCTGTTGGCATCCTACACTCTTCATTCCATGTGGGGCTCTTCACAGCTGGGCAGTTAGTTTCCTTTGGCAAACTTGGTTGGTTAGGGCACGAACGCCCTGAACACATGGAGAGTGTGCATTTAGAGCGCTTGGGCGGTTCTCATTGGAAATGTTGCCGTTCATCGTCAGGTCGTGTGTCCTGCTCTGGGATTTGGAGAACATGGCCACCTCTCCACAAGGCTTGCTCTGGCTGAGTGTGGATGCCGGGGATTGATGTCTGTAAATTTCCTGCTCCTCAATGGAGTGAGAGAAAGTCAAAGTCCCTGTGGACAGTGAGATTTGACTATGTGGTATTTAATTTCTGGAAAAATCTCTTCTGGGAATGGTGAAATCAAGTGACATCATCAGTAAATATGAAGGACCAAGTTTCCAAACAAGATGGTCCTTTAAATCGCTCCTAGATTTAAGTTGCCCGTGGGATCTTTTCTTCATGTCCTTTGACTCCTTAATTTTTCAGTTGTTAGGTTTAATTTTTCAATTGTTAGGCAGAAAAACTGTGTGCTCAATTTCAGAACCTAAATGAGAATGCCAGGTTTTTTGGATGTCTGAGAAAATAATTTTCTTCGTTGGTTCTGATTTTAACTTAGAAACATAAATTTGTCCATAGTCTCTCCACCTACAAGAAATCATTTGGAATTGTACTGCTTTCTCACTGCATAGCAAATTAGTTTTTCCCAGAGAAAAAGATGATCAGAACTCTATTTGTATGACTACTGCTGTGGCAATATTCTGGGCTACTTACTATTTGTGGATCTGCTTAAGGTCCTGTATTGTACCTTTTTAGTCAAAAGGTATTGATACCGTCTCCAAAAATGGAAAAAAGAAGAAAGGGTACTGTGGTATGACTTGAAAATCTCTCCTAAGTAGTAGTATATGTTGTGCTTTGTTTTATTCCAGGCTTTGGTCTGGTATGGAACATACATAGCAAATAAATAAAATGAGACAGCAGGTCCCACTTCCTTCAGGGCATCTTTTATTGGGCTCAAAAGGCACTCTGTATAGAAAACCATAGAATGAAATCCTCAAAAGCAGGCTCAATTCCATGAGAGAGGACTCACTTTACAGGAAGTGGCCTGTCTTACATAGCCTCATTTGTCTTTGACATTTAAGAGCCAGGAATTTTAAAGTGAGTAAGTTGGATGGGCGGCTAAAAGCAAATGTCTTAAACTCACAAGAAATAAAATGTTTTACCTCATTAGCGAAAGGGAAGGCGTGTGCCTGGCCTTTCCGAATGTCAGCAGGAAGATGAGCATCAGCTGGGGGACAAGTGGCCCTGGAACCTCATGTCTGCTTTACTGGGGAAGACTGAGGGCTCTTTCTCTCCTTGTAGGGCCAGACAGCTCTGGAGACTTTTGCTCATTAGCAGGGGGGAAAGGCAGGTGAAATTCAGCCTTACTGTCTCAGAGCTCCCTATTAGGGGAAAAGGAAAATGAACTGGCTGTCGAGCCTCCCGTGCGTGTGGTTTATCTGGAGGGATCTGTGGAGAAATTAAATTTCAAAGCAATGGAAACAAGTTGCTATAAAGAGCATTTGATTTCTGGATAGATGTGATGAGTGGGCTGGGATGTGCCCCGTGTGCTTCCGCACCAGGCAGTGGAGACTTGGAATTGGCAAGGTGTTCTCTTGAGTCCCTTGTGGTAATGCCATTTGAAGTAAAACTCAGCTTGCTTCTTGCCTTCTCTTCCACATCTGTTTTGTGCTTCCCTTTACAAGGTGAATTAGTCTTCAAGGTTCGTTCCAGTGAAGATGTCATTTAGGGATTTGAATGCTGTTCAGTGATAGAAGAAAAGCGTGATATATCTCCATGGGACCAGTGGAACTCGATGACACCATTTGGTGATGGGAAATGCAGGGCTGGGAACGTTTTCTACTCTTTAGAGCAAAAGCAGGATCACAAGTGAGACACGACAGGGTCCCTTGGTGGCTGCTGCTGCTAGCCAGGACCAGCTGTGTCTGCCATGAGGCCAGCTGTGAACCCAAGCCCAGGGAAGCTCTGCCTGCTTTGCCTGTCTCCAGACACTACTGATGGCTCACGCCTCGGGCCTTCAGCATTGGGTCATACTCTATGCCATGTGCCAGGGTGCTCTGGGGACTTGGAAAGTATGACTAGAGGTGACAGGCCCCTTATTGCTGCCTTTGTCCTAGGCTCTCAGCAAACTGTGAGAGGCCAGAGTGCCTGGGTGGCTTCTCTACCATAATGGTGGCTGCGAGCATGGGCTGGCTCACCATCTGCCTCTCTCTTCCATGTTTTCAGGCCAACCGGGATGCTGTGCTGAGCAGGACACCTGAGCACAGGAGTGACCGCCTCATCAGTTTGCAGAGCGCGTCTGTGGTCTATGACTTGCTGACCATTGCCCTTGGAAGAAGAGGCCAGTATGAGATGCTGTCAGAGGTACAGCTGCTGAGTGGTTGACTCCCAAGTGGGGGTGGGGTGGCTGGGTGACCTCAGGGAGGAGCTGAGACCTGGTCCTGAGCTTCTGACCACTGACTGCCATGTGACCTGGGGCCAGTCATGAACTTTGGTTTCCTCCCCTGAAAAGGGGTGATTGGGCTGAATGATTATATTGTGGCATTGACCCATGGCCTCTTACCACTAGTGGACCTCACCCAGCAGGTTCTGATTGTGGGAACGGAAGGCCAGTGTTGCCCAAGCACTTTTTCAGCCCATGTACTCTCCTTCATAACCAAAACAGGTTATTAATTCCCATCTGGGGTATTAATTTCCTTACAAAATGGTTTCATTTAAACTCTCAGTGCATAACTCCTGGTGACATGGCAGCTTCCGGCACATGTGTCATCAGGTTAGCTGATACAAACTTTCATGCCAGGTAAGTGCTGTCTTCCTTCACAGTGTATTGCTGGACAGAAGGGACCCAGTGGGTTCCAGGTCTTGTGACAGTGCTGTCTTCCTCTCAGGCCCTCAACCTGGAGGAACTGCTTGGGTGGAAGCTTGTCTGGCAGGCTCAGAAGGAGCCAGTTGATCTGGAATATGGTTACAATGCATTGAGTTCCTGTCCAGAATACCAGATTCCCCCTTGGTGAGGCTGAATAAGTAAGGAGACCACTTTATCTTTCTTTTACCGAAATAGAAAGAAAGAAAGGGGAAAGAAGCAACCTTATTTTGTTAAAATAAACTTTTCTGTGTTATTTATCTTTCTCTTTCTAAATTTATACCCATTGCAACAGCCTCTGGGCATGAGGACAGGGAATGAAATACAGTAACAGATTGGCTGAAATCAGATAAGCGCTCACTCACCCTCTAGCCTGCCGTGATGGCCACATTAGGCAGGAACCTTGGGGAACAGATGAGCCTGCGTGGCTGGAAGCTTTTTTTAGTCTTTGATTTGGTGACTATACAGGGAAGTGGTTACTTCAAACACACAAACCCCTCATGATGTAGATAATGCAGTGTCCAGATGCCCCAGCACACATGGCCCACCCTGCCATGACTTGGTCCAGGCTCAGGGTTGGTCCAGACTGTTTGTCCCCAAGAAGTCCTAGCCCCCATGGGGTGCCTAGGGTTCCCAGGCCCCTGCTCCCAACCAGCTTAGTTCCTGCTCAGCATGGCCAGGCGTGGCCCACCCGTGGCTTGGTACACCCACTCACAGTTGAGTTCTTTCAAGGTGAACTTCTCTCCACCAGACAAACCACTTGACACCTCTCTGGATCCAAGTGGAGTGTGTTTGCAAGTCAGCTTCTGTCCCCTGGTGTGGCAACACAGCCTTTCCCCAGTTTGAAATCTACCCACATCTGAAACAATTGGGAGTAGCCCAAGGTGGCTGGCTCCACTCCGTGGATAGGCTCTGGCCCCTGCCTGCGGTTGGCTCTTCGCTCCATGAACAGCCTTGGGGGCGGCTCCACTGGAGATCGTTCCCCCCCAGGTGGGCAGCTCCGAGGCACCTGCTGCCACCCCCACCCATGGAATCCCAAGACCGCATTTTCACTCAGATGACTTTGATCTTTGTGCCACCCGAAGCTTCCATCTTGTAGTGATTACCTGACACCTGAGTCACAGGGTGGTCAGGTTGTGGGAGCCTCTGTGGTTCACAAAGTGACCACTGATCACATTTAAAATGGTGGAGGTAGCACCAAAGGCTGGAATGGAAGGCTGGAAGAGAGGGAATTGTATCAGTGTGTGTCCCCTGGGGCCTTGTGGATTTTGTGTCATATCTGTTTCTCTATTAGAAATGTAAGCTAATTGATAAAATATATAAAATAGAGGACATTTATTTTTTCAACATGAACATATGCTGTGACTAAGGTTGGGGATATAGCCTTGAGTAAGGCATGGCCCCTGCCCATGGCAGCTCCCAATCTAGACTGAAGTGGCAGTGCTACCTTCCAGGTGGCCACCCCTGGGGCTGAGAAAGACCCCCAACACCCAGCCTCTGCCTTTCCTGCCCTTTCTACTCTGGGAGGAGAAGCGCCCCCCCCCACCCTTCCCCCGCCAAGCACGTGGTCGCCGCGCTCTCTGGTCTTCTAACTGAGATGGTGGGTGTCTTAGGAGAAAGAGAGCTCACAGCACCTTGAGGCAGCCTGTCCTCCCGCAGATGGCTCTGCCACTGCAGAGGGGCCAGGCCCACTGCTGCTAAGCAAGGACCCTCCCTGCCTCCGTTCCAGGCCACATCTCGCAGTAGCCTGCTTTCCGCTTCTCCTCATTTACAAGGGTTTTCTTGAATCCATTTGGTGCTTTTCTTCCTCTCCTATTTGCTCTTCTATTTTCTGTGAACTTTAAGTTGAAAAGATAACTGGCTTTTAAAAAATTGGGGTAAAATTCACCTAGCAAATTGAGCCATTTTAAAGAGTAGAGTTCAATGGCATTCAGTGCGTTCACACTGCTGGGCAGCTGTGACAGTCACCTCCGCCTCACCAGCGCAGAAGTCCTGACGAGGCTGCTCATGAAGAGGAGCATCAACTAAGCTCACAGGTTTGAGGTTCAGAGTCCAGAAGCTTACTGTAGGCTCCATGAAGAGGGCGGCCACCTTGCTTCATCTTCTGATATAGGTGTCCGGGGGCAGCATGTAACCACATCTCGGACCGGGAGCAGAGAGGATGGGTAACAGCCCTCTAGTGAGAACTCGAGGTGCTCCACTCCCACGACCTAAGGACACTGTTGCTAGGGGGCAAAACTGCGGGAGAAATAAAGAATATCTACACGCTTCTGCCCCTTTCAATGCTTTATTCCCTCAAATTACTCAATACAATTTCACTCTGTAGGTTCTTAAGAAAATGACAATCCTTAATGCTAGGCACTGCAGTAGACATAATCAATTCACAGCAAATAATTCTAGATTAATTCTTAGCACTGCAAAACACACTTAATCATGACAGGCTAGTGACAGACATTCCCTCTGCGTGCTAAGTTCAAAAGTCTGAAGCCTTAGGCTTTATGTCCAGCGGATGCATACTCACTCAGACCGCAGTGACCAGGTCCAGAACCAAGGCAGGCTTTTCCTGGTGTGGAGTGGACGACCAATTGAGGAGAGGGTCATAGGGAGAAGTTGTGGCTCTCACCAAGGCCCAGATGAGGCTGTAGAGTTTGTTATGCAGAGGATCAGGAAATGATGACAAGTGATGAGATGTCAGATCCTCATCAGGCTTGTTTTGGCTGACTGAATCCCTGTTCATCAGCTCTGTTATTTATACTAAATTTTGGGGCTTTTGACCCCCCTTTCAATCCTTATCAGCTACCACCAGATTTCTCCATGACATCATTTACCCTGGGGTCAGATGATCTGGTCTGGTGATCTCCACCCTGATCTCCTTATCAGGCGTGGTCAGCCTGCCAGGGGCTTCACTCTGTTTATCAGGGTGAGGGGAAGTGACTTGTCTGAGGCCGTACTGGAGGGATCTGTTGGATGTGCCTTATGAGGCTGCAGGTTTCAAACTGGAGTTTTTAAAATGGAGTTGCTTAGGCTTAAGCCTAAGGCCATCCTCACAGACTCCCACTGGGCCCTGCCTTCCAAGAGTTCTACCACCTCCCAGAAGCACCATCCTGGGGACCAACCTGTCAATCACAGTGGGCCTTTGGGGACACCACTAAAACCACACTTACCATGGGGCTCTAATCCAATGTTCTAATCCAACATTTTCATCTGCCTTGCAAAAGGAAACCTCAAACCCAGTAAGCATTCCCCTCTGCTCCCCTCACCCCCCAGCCCCTAGCCACTGCTAATCTCTTTCTGTCTCTATGAATTTACCATTTTGGGTGTTTGGTGTAAATAGAATTAGCTAATCTGAGACCTCTGGTGACTAGCTTCTTTCACTTAGCACAATGCTTTCAAGGTTAGCCACATTGTAGCATGTGTCCAAGATTTGATTCCTTTTATGGCTAAATAACATTCCATTGTGTGGTTACACCACAATTTGTGTATTTGTTCATCAGTGTTGGACACTTGGGTTTTCTTCAACTTTTAGTTAGTGTGACTAGTGTTGATGTGAGGGTGACTGGTTTTAAACTCCCAGTTGTGATTATCACTATTGTCGCATATTCCATTTCCTTGTCTTTAGCGCCTGCTCCATTGCCAGGGTGACAGTTCTCAAACAGGACAGGACCAGCACCCTTCTGTTCAGAAGCACACAGCTCTTCCCTCCCCTTCTTTTTTTTTTTTTTCTTTTCTTTTGTTTAATTTATTTTCCTTCCATAATGAAATTTACTTCATTGTTTATCTTTCTGCCATATGTAATAGCCCTGCATGTTTGAAATGAAGCAATAGATACCAATACAACAAAGGAAATAAAAGTTCCTCAGGACCCAACCATCCTAAGGTAGTTGACTATCCATTGACATTTTAGAGGCCTTTTTTTTTTTTTTTTTTTTTTTTTGGTACTAGGGATTGAACTCAGGAGCACTTGACCACTGAGCTACATCCCCAGCCCTATTTTGTATTTTATTTAGAGACAGGGTCTCACTGAGTTGTGTTGCTTAGTACTTCACTTTTGCTGAGGCTGGCTTTGAACTCACCATCCTCCTGCCTCAGCCTCCCAAGCTGCTGGGATTACAGGTGTGTGCCACTGTGCCCGGCTGAGACCATCTTTTTATATATTTTTATGCATAAATGCATGTACATTGTGTATGATTTAAGGAATGGGATGATGTTATGTGCATTTTTTGTGGATATTTCCTATTCTTTTATCCCCCACCCATTGACATGCCACCAACCTAGTTGTCCTGGGGTACAATTCCTAGGGTTAGAGGGCTTTGATGTGAGTTTTGGATCTGCCACTAAATGATGGTGTGGTCCTAGGTGTCATCAGCCTCCTCTGTTTCTCTTTCTTCTCCTATAAAATAGAACAATACTCATGTGTATCTCTGACAGTGGTGAAGGGTATGCTTATTAATCCATATCAAGCCCAGCACAGAGAACTCACTGAATAGCAGCTGAGTGCCGC